AGCTACACAAGTTTTCACATCTGACTACGGAACACGCTAACAGCTGAAGTGTAGAGAAGGCACGTTCTGCGTCCAAAGTTTCTCTCAGGAATTCTCGACAGATTCCTTCATACGATAAGTTATTTGTTGACTTAGCCCACTTTTCGCATTGTATTCATCATCATTATGGTAAAACAGACATTTGTTGGTGTTTCTCACCGAAGTCCATTTGAAAGTACAGTGGTTCTGCTAGAAGGAAAGACTACGAGAATTCCGCTTGCGGCATGCTTGCGATCACTCATAAAATAAACAATGTCCTGCCCATTATTGCATCTGGTACAGTTGTAAAGCGGCCTTGTGGTTTACAATTCACCGTGGTTATAATGACATATGTTATTAGCCAACGCGTATTGATCGTCTTGTCTGGCTTCAATGGATAGTCTAAATGAGGTTTCCCGAATGATAGAAAAACTACGAAAACAGCGGCTAACTGATCGAAATATGATGGAAATGGTTCTTTCACTTTAAGACAGGAATTACTTGCTGAATAGCAAGCAACCTATAGCAATGCGTTTCTCCCCTAAGTACCGGCTGCTTCATACTAGTTAGCGGCTTATTTGTAGCATGAAAGAATTCATAGCCAACCCAGCGAAAAAACGCGCCATTTGTGGACAAACCTAACCAGGCCGCGCATTCAGGCCATATGGCCACCGTTTTATGCTGACTCATGTGGACGTTTAACAAATATTCATCAGTGAACTGACGCCCACTGCAAACAACAAAATTGTCACTCGATGTTTGACGGGCATCGGAATAGTGACTATGGTAATTTTCAAGTTTATCATAAAATGTCATACCTTTTAGTTTTTCCAGCGTGTTTTCTACTTTCTCTTCAAAATGTGAACAAAAATTAGTTTTCAATTTGACCATCGAAAATAAGCTTGGAAAATATAAATGGTATTACTATTACTGGTGACGTTACGATCATTATTTGTTTGGCTACACAATGTCTGCGATATAATTTTTCTATACGAAAACACCGTGTTTGTGAATTTCATTTTACACTTGCGGCTGTATGCACCAGGCTTATTTGAAAATCAATGTATCATTCACTCTCACCCCAATTAGTCTCATCGTGTATCTACATTTTAGATTCCAGTTTATATTGCACATTAACAGAATAAACACATGAGTCACACTTGTGCTTTTGTTGGTTTCAAGGCACTCGATGCATCCTGTTTGGAACGATGAAATTTCGTACCTTTGGTAAAACTCAGCCTACAAATAAATAATCAGTTCATCGATAGCCATTTGCATATAACCTACGGCGAATTCTACAGTTTGGCAATTTCCTTAAGTAAAGGATGCTAGACTTCTACCATCGAGATGCTGGTTTCGGAAGAAGAACTATAATAGAACAGCTCCCGAGTGTTATAATCTGTAGGCAGAAGGCCAGCCTTGAGGTGTAACGGCAAATTGTGCAAATTGGGAAAAGCCAAAGTTGTATCTGCATAACATGTTTCTTAGTTGATTAAATGACCACTGGCTATTTCTATGTATCCCTCTCCCAAAAGTTGCGAAGCTAAAACTCTGGTGTCACGCTGAACGAGGATTATGTGGGAGATCGTATATGTTAATTCTGAGCAAACTAAAAGTAGTCATTGTATATCAACATGGAGGGAGCGCATGAGAAACATGGTTGAATTGTGCGATGAATTCATAAACACCAAACGACATTGAGCTGGGTGTGAAAAATAATTGCACCGGCAGGTACCGGGCCACTTTATGAGCGCAAACCTTCCTAAGGCTCCCCGAACTGTCGCATGACCAAGACCAGGAGTACACAGTTATATGAACATGCGAGCATATGCGAGAACTTGACGTTTGAGAAACTCCTTCTCGAGTTTCAAAATGTTTATAGGACTTAAATAGCCCAATTGTGGGTTAACGCAAACTCCTAGATTTGAAGCCAAGAATAAGCCTTTATCAATAACACTGACAGGGAAATCAAAAAGGTTCTCTTACGGAAAATAATTAATGGTAGATAAGAAGGCATATCATACCTTTTACTTGCATCAATACGCTG